ACTGTGTAAAGCTGGTAATCATATTAGAGGTAACTTCTAGAAGAGAAGCAGCCTAAAGCCAATAACCATTCAGATCTTATCTTCTAGAAATAGCATAAAACCAGTAATAATGTCAGAGATACCTTCTAGCAATAGAAAGCCTAAAGCCAATAACCATTCCGATATTACTTTCTAAACAATGTAAAGCGAGTAATCAGATTAGAGATAGCGTGTATTAATAATTATAGAGAAGAAGCATATCCAGATTAGTTTCAGGAAATAAGATGTTAGCAATAATTAAGTCACAGGTAGCTTCTAAATATTACCTGATGATGTTGCATCCGTTTATTCTTTGGTTACCAAACTAATTATGGTTAACATTCATAGTGGAAGCTCTCTTAAAGAGTTTATGTTTGCTACCAACCAGACTGTGCTATTCGACAAATTGGAACCACTATTTAGGGATAAAGTATAAACTAATTTCAAATAAACCTTTCCAGTATTTGTTAGGTCTATAACTGCTAGACTATTCTTTTAATCGAAATGGAAGCTACATGAAGAAAGACTCTATTTAGAAATGCTTGTAATCTTCTCTGACATGTATTTCTGCCTTCCTGACACATATACCAGAAAACATGGTACTTTTGTGTCAGGATGCAAAGCATTGTAGGCTTTTATCAGTTTACAGTACTTAAAAAACGTTATAATCCTGAACAACTTCTCTTCTGGTATGGTTTTTTTTTGGAGTAGTGAATACGATGTAATGTAAAAAAAAAATCCAAAAGATTAATCAACTCTGAACAAATGGAATTTTATTTTCTTTGTGTACGCAGGAAACACGTCAGCCAATAGGACAAAAAAAAAGAGTCTTAGAAAATAGCCAGCACAAGAAAGCGATACAGGTGCGGTCTTGGCTATATGCACTTAGGGAAGTAAAAGGAAAGAAATGAATTGGTAGATATCTCAAAGCTTGAAAAATTCGGAGAAGAGAGAAGAAACGTCTCATTACCATAGTAACATTGGCTTCATGAAAAGGTAAAAGTATATTAGTAGGACAGGTGTTTTTAATGCATAAATTACTATAACTCAATTTATAAACAATTAGAGCATGCACTTCTTCGCAGAAGAGAGGTCACGTAAAAAAACAAAAAAAGTAAACCATAGCAACATTAGCTATATCATGCTACAGTTATTAATGTGGATTATCTTAGCACATTTTGTAACATTTTATCCTGTTTATCTTTACAACTGAAAGCTCATCTGACAATTTGTCACCATAGCAGTATGCGAACTATCAAGGAATGATAAGATGATTCTTATGTGTAGATTACATTAACACGTCTGTAAACCTTCAACCACAATATATAATCAGATAAATCAGCCTTTTCATGACTTTAATGTGGAACATATCTTGCGTGTTTTATTACAAGACCAATTTTCTTGTTAATTTGCAAAATCTTCAGGATATAATGTCTTTTGTTGTTGTTTTTTGTTTTTCAAATGTAAGTTAAGAATTAGGTTGTTAGTCTCGTATGTTGAAAAATCCATTTTAGGCCCTGGTAAACATTTACTCTCTTTTACTCTCCCTGGTAAACATTTACTCTCTTTCTCTCTGTCACTCAAGTTGGTTAGTTCGACAACCACTGATTACACATTTCTAAGTGACTCTTCGCCGCAGTGAATACAAACTGTTTTGGGAAATATTTAAGTTGTTTCGGATATTTGAGCAAATCTACACAATGCTAGCCTTTTCTCATTTTGAATTGATATACAAAAGGAAAAACAACTAGTCAGCGACACCCACCGCCTACTATTGGGCTACTTTAATGGAATATTGAGACATGACCGGCAACGGGACGCGAGTCAAGAGTCAGTGTATTTTATATTGTATCCTGTTAAAAAAGTAAATCAGCCAAACAATATCATGCTTAACGTGTGTGTGTGTGTGTGTTTCTATCGTTTTAAACTATAAAACACCACAATAACGACATATTGTAATTTATGTTTTATAACATATTGGAATGAAAGCAGTAAAATTAAGAAAGAATAAAATAAAAGGTGTGAGTATGTACTTATCTACACCATGTGGCATCTTTTAGTCTTAATATACGACGATAACTCTTCTTTGTTGGTCCGACACCCAATTAAAACAGTGAATCAACACTACCACAAGTTGACAGTCTTACTACGGTTTAATTAAATATGGTGCTAGGAACACTATATTGTTGCTACAACCAATTGAATATTATTATTATAGAAAAAAATGGGTAATTAACAAGCGGCATCATACGATCTATATTTTTAGGGTTGCAATAAAATGCAATTTGTTAAAAAGAATCAGTGCAATAAAAGTTATTTCTACCCCCCCCCCCGCATTAGATTCTCTGTCCGCTATTTTCTAATTTTTGTAAGCTACTTAGTTAAGCAGAAGAAAAAAATTAATGCTAGAAAAATATACCGATAAATAAACGAAAAGCAAGAACAACGAACGGTAAAAATGCGAATAACCCAAGTTGAAAATTATCAAAACGCAAGGAAACAGCAAATATCTGATAGAGGAAAGTTTGTGTAAAATATGAAATAATCACTCATGGTACAAAAGATGCAAACAAGTGAACATTATTGAAAAAAACAAACAACTAATGATAGTAAAAAAAACCTAAATGTAAATAAATTGAATATTGCAACTGATATTACGCAACGTATGTAGAATACGTGTCATATGGACATGATATAGGTATCAGCGTAGCACAAAATAAACTAAGGTTCTTACTTATAGGTTCATAACAGCATTTGTTTCGATGAAAGTTTAAACTAAGATTTAACATAATATAATATTTGTATTATAATATCATATTAAGATATAAAAATCATAGAATCTAGATAGCATTCAACAGTTTGGTACTCTCAACGCTCACGATGTTATCAGTAGCAATGCCACTAATTCCTACCGAACTCGGACCATCTTTGTCACTTTGGGCTAGGTTTAAATCGATATGCTAAGAACCGGAAAGAAGATGTGGGGAAACGAAAGAACAATGGAAATGTAGATCTGAACGAAAAAAAAACATTAAAAGGTAGCGGCTAGTTGGTCGTTACTGGCTTGTAGTTTAAACCCAACGGACAATTTGTGGTACCCCTATCGCGGGTGTCAAAACTCTAGGGTGGGGGTGGGGTGCTAGTTGGAAAAGAGAGTAATTACAAAAAAGAAGATTAGAAAATAACGGCAGGATAACACTACTAGGATAAAGAAGCATAAAAAGTAAATATTATAATGAACATGTTGACTTTGAGCTCATGAGAATTCCTCGCATCTTCTTCTGGTTTTAGTAGATGGCGTTTCTACGACGAGCCTGCACTGGAACATTTTTTCCAGAACTATTAATTTTCTTTGTCCAACAAAAAGCAACTGAGATTTTGTTGATTTAGAAAAAATACACGAAAATATAAGAAATAGAAAACAAAAAGTAACGGAAAAATACATTAGTGTGATGAATAATAAACTGATTTACCCAC